TATATATATTCTTTAATCAATAAAATAACAAGAGTACTTTTGGATTTCAGATGAAGGGAATGACTCTGAAAGTCTTTATTGTCTTGGGAATGAAGACATTAATGAGTTGATTCCAAAAATGGGACCAAGGTCAAAGTTTAAAAACGGACTCAGTCAGTTGAAGGTAATGTTAACTTACAAATAGAATATGTTTTTATTTGGGTGTTTTATTAGTATGCTATCATAATTGTTAATAATAGTAATAACAATGAAGACACATAAACAATGTCCACAAATTATAAGGGATAGACTAAGTTGTTTTGGGACTGCAAAAAAATATTTTACAAGGAGGAATAAAATCCCAACCAGATGATAAAAAATTTTCCTATACAATTCATATACAATTTATTCTTCTATTGGGTTAAATAGTTTAAAATCTTTTTTAGTTTTTGTTTTAAGTTGGAAGCTTTGTAAAGGAGTAATGTATTTGCAGGGTCAACAGAGGGCAGAAGAAGCTGCTAGTACATCTAAGGTGAGAAAATATACCAGTGGATTTTTGCTTCATTCATATAAAGCAAAAATCCAACAAGCATTCTAATTATGTCCCTGTACAGAATTATGCTATGCAAATAAACTTGCCTTGTCAAGATCTGATGCGGTAATGTTTCTCAGCAAGTGTACACAAAGGATGAAACGGTTTAGCATTAACAGAATTTATTCTAGCTGGAACAATTATTCAAAACAAAAAATAAAACACATAAATTAATTAATCTTCAGCAGAGACAACAAATTTCTAAATGATAAGATTTTATAAAACTGAAGTTAAACAAAAAAGGAAAATAAGCAAGAATGTGTGTACAGTTCAAATACGTACACTCCATTCCATACTGCTATTACTATCAATTATAGCACTTATGTAAGGCCCCAACCACACAAATAAAGCTCAGGCTTAAACACAAAAACACTTTATTTGATTGGGGTTAAAACAATATTGTGGAAATTAAGGCTCCATTCACACCACAGGCCTAAATGATCAATTCAGATTTTTTTGTGAAAAGCTTACCGAGGATATTTAAACAAATTTTTGAATCTTCCGTTTGTGTTGATATAGTCTAAAGTAGATTCTTGAACCCTGGTCCTCCAAACCACTGTCCTGCATGTTTTCTATATGAGCATCAGCAGCCTGGGTGCCACCAGGGGCTGCAGCGATGTATTTGTAACCGTTTCATTGAAGTTTGGTGTTTGAAAGCAGGAAAAAACCTTGAACATGCAAAACAGTGGGTCCTGAGGTCATGAGTTTAAGACTACTGATCTAGGGCATTTTTTTTCTTTTGGACTGGTCTTTATTTAATGGATAAAGAATAATTCAAATCTGTTGTGTGTTTTTGATTATTTAAAATTATTATTAAACAACTGTTCAATTGCAAGAAATAAACACCTTCACCAGCTTAGAAATATATACTTTTATTACATCCTGGGATATAAAATATAAAAGTGTTTCGAAGATGTGCTTTTCTTCTTTTACTATAATACTATGCATTCTAAACCAATTTAAGCAGACTATGAGAAAACCATTTTTGGTAAAAGGAATATCTAAATTTGATGTTGAACAAATAATTTCTTTGAAGCTTATCATTTCTATTACCTCATAACAAACTCATCATACCAAATTAAAATTATCATATAATGTTTAAAAACACATAATAGAATTGTTTTAAATGGATGTTGTATTGACTGCCGTTTTTTTCGAGAAACACTCAAATGACATGTGTTCATCCTCAGACTTTACAATCCACCAGTGATACAAGTAAGAAATACACATACTGTATTTTACTGTTAAAAAACTTGATAGTAGAAATTACCAACAAACCTTTCTTTCTTTTTTTTTGACATGATGATGACAAGGAAAGAGAAAGGATGCTTTCCAGAGTGATTCCAGCAAAGATCAACCGACAGAAAAAAGGAAATGCAAAACTCCCATCTCCTCAGGTGTTTCTTTGAGAATATTGAAAAAACGAGAAACAATTATTCGGGAAAAAAAACAAAACAACAACATTTGTTTATGCCTATATTTTGGGCACAAAGTGGTAAACTACCTGGAAACAGCTGAGAAATGATACCTCTGTGGTTACAGAGTATTCTACAGAATTGATACTGAAAGACCCACTTAGATTTTGTTTCAATTTATGCTTTGACATGACTTTTTTTTTTTTACTTTCACTTACAGATTTATCGATTTTATTTAATGTAAAAAACATAATGGCAGATGTCCATGCAAAACTGCCTAACCAAAAGGACGCAAAGGTTAACAATTTTTTGAAGTAAGTACTTTTCTGTGTTCGTGGACAGTCTTGGACAGTCTGGTCCAAAATCACAAATTATTTTGGTTTTGATTCATCAATATATATATATATATATATATATATATATATATATATATATATATATATATATATATATATATATATATATATGCCCGGGTTAACAAGGTCCGCATCAGATGCTAGGGAACCAGGGCATCTTGATGAGAAATGGGCTGCTGGAATAAGACATACATGGACTAGAGCAGAAAACTTGGACCTCTGCTTTCATGCAGAGATTATGGGATATATGGATGCTTCAAAATCCATCATCAACACTGACAAAGAAACAACTCCTAACTCCTCCTAACTCCAACATCCGCAAACTGCAGCTCCTATCACAACTAGAAATTGATGAGGTACAACTGACATGCTGCTGCAAGGGGAGTCAGGACAACAGTTCAACAGGGAGATTTCATCATCATCCTGACACTCAGAGATTGGGTCCCAAGTCCCAATAACAACAACAAGCCCACTAAACATAAGGGCGCCTGACCTACGACTGCAAATCATAACCAAACTGGACCCTCTAGTACGACGACCAAGACTGCCAAGGCTTCTTCTAGGAGATGTAAATGCAGCACTACATACTATCCCTACTAAGAACATAACTGAGACTAATGAGCTGATCTACGCCACAGCTACAGTGATCCTAGAGATGCTTGGCTATAACATAAACACCACAGGCCACAAAGAGCATTAACTCCCATGGAGGAGAAGGCTGGAGGCCAAGATCAAGGCAACACGAAGAGAGGTTAGTCAGCTCTCAGACCTGCAGAAAGGTGTAGGGAAGAAACTGCCAAACAAAGACTCACCGCCCTGGGCACCCGCCTAAAGAAATACAAGGGAGAAGCAGAAGCCAGGAGAACAAACCAGATGTTCTCCACCAACCCATCCAAAGTGTACTCACAGTGGCAGGATAATAATACAAGATCAGATCCACCCAGGGCTGAGACTGAACAGTACTGGAGGAACATATGGGACAAGGAGGCATCCCACAACACCAATGCTCAGTGGCTAGTGGATCTAAGAACAGATCACAGCAATCTCCCAGAACAAGAACCAGTGACCGTTACAACGGCAGACGTCCAAGAAAGAGCGGCAGGTATGAAGAGCTGGACAGCACCAAAAAACTAACCGCACTTCATGCACACCTGGCAGCACAAATGAACCAACTGCTGATGGATGGGACCCACCCAGAATGGTTAACCCAAGGACGTACAATTCTGATCATGAAGGATCCCCAGAAGGGAACAATCCCATCCAACTACCGGCCAATAACTTACAACTGTACAACATGGAAGCTCCTGTCAGGCATCATAGCAGTTAAGATGAGTAGGCACAAGGCTCAATACATGCACTCTTCCCAGAAGGGAATAGGCAGTAACACCAGAGGAGCCAAGCACCAGCTACTGGTGGATAGAGCAGTCACTCGAGACTGTAAGACCTGGCAGACAAATCTGTGCACTGCCTGGATTGACTATAAGAAAGCCTACGACTCAATGCCACACACATGGATACTGGAATGCTTGGAAATGTACAAGATCAACAGGACACTAATAGCCTTTATCAAGAACTCAATGAAGCTGTGGAAAACAAGTCTGGAAGCCAACGCAAAGCCAATTGCACAAGTCACCATCAAATGCGGCATATACCAAGGCGATGCACTATTCCCACTGCTGTTCTGCATAGGCCTGAACCCCCTCAGCCAGATCATCACAAAGACTGGCTATGGATACCATTCCAAAGCGGAACAATTATCAGTCACCTCCTCTACATGGATGACGTCAAGCTGTATTCCAGGAGTGAACGAGACATCGACTCACTGATCCACACTACCAGGATCTACAGCAACGACATTGGAATGTCATTCGGACTAGACAAATGCGGTCGCATGGTCTCAAAGAGAGGGAAGATGATAAGAACCAAGGGATTGGAACTACCAGAAGGCCACATTACAGTTGTTCAGGTCACCTACAAATACCTCAGGGTGCCAAAGGCTAACAGAAACCACAAGGAGACAGCAGAAAGACCGCCACAGCCAAATATCAACAAAGAGTAAGGCAGGTCCTGAAAAGTCAGCTGAATGGGAAAAACAAGATCCAAGCCATCAACACATATGACCTGCCAGTCATCAGATACCCCGCTGGTATAATAAACTGGCCAAAGGAGGAGATAGAGGCTACTGACATTAAGATAAGAAAGCTCTTCACAATGCATGGAGGGTTTTCCCCCCAAATCCAGCACTCTGAGACTGTATACTAAGCGTAGCGAGGGAGGCCGGGGGCTAGTGAATATCAAGACCACTGTCCAGGATGAAACAACTAAGATCCAGGAGTACATCAGAAAGATGGCTCCCAAAGACAAATGGCTTGGCGAATACCTAAGGCAGGAGAAAACCGAAAGTGAGGACAAGAAAGATGAAGGAGAACGATCATGGAGGGACAAGCCGCTGCACGGCGTATACCACAGACAAATAGTAGAGGTGGCTGATATCAAAAAATCCTACCAGTGGCTGGAAAAGGCTGGAATGAAGGACAGCACAGAGGCACTAATCATGGCAGCACAAGAACAGGCACTCAGTACAAGATCAAAAGAGGCCGGGGTCTACCACACCAGGCAGGACCCCCGGTTCAGACTGTGCAAAGATGCCTCTGAAATAATACAGCACATAACAGCAGGGTGTAAAATGCAGGCAGGAAGTGCATACATGGAACGCCATAACCAGGTAGCTGTCATAGTGTACAGGTGCCATGAGTATGGGCTGGAAGTCCCAAGGTCAAAATGGAAGACACCTCCTAAGGTAGTTGAGAATGACTGAGCTAAGATCCTATGGGACTTCAAGATCCAGACTGACAAACAGGTGATGGCTAACCAACCAGACATCGTATTGATCGACAAACAGCAGAAGAAGGCAGTAGTGATAGATGTAGAAGTTAAACAGGCGGAGAAGTGTTGCTCTGAACACTGCTCAACCGGAACTTTAAAGTGAGGGAAAGACACAGCGGTTAGTACAGACTCAGTGGGGAATTTGACTTGTGAACTTGGAGAAGAGGATTTGGTTGCCGAATCACGTTTCCAGAGAAGTCATTGTATTATTGACTCCTGTCTGTGTGCCGTGGTTCCAGTGTTTGTCTGATTCGGTGGAGGGCGGAACATGGTTTACCCAGAATGCGGTTGATAGTTGGTGAATGGAGAAACTGACTGCCACTCAGATTTCCTGCGGTACTTGAACGGGTCGTAGTGGAGAATAATCCCTTTCTCAGAGAGAAGCTCAAACAATCTCTTGGGGAAAGTGGATCCAAACCTCCTGTTTGAACCCCAACTCAGTTTGAAGCTCAGTTGATCCTTCCAGAGAGTGAAGGTCCGAGAAATCCAGTTTGCAGGATGACTTCCTGCCGAGAGGCAAAGACAAAAAACAAAGTTAAACTCAGGTAGACAAAAACTCAGCTTGACTCAGCAAAAACTCAGCTTGGCTAGAATACCATAAACTGGCAAACACTCTGGCATCGAAGTAGTGGCAGTGAGCAGCTTAAGAACACTCCGTTTAATGAGGAAACCATCAGCAGATGTGTGAGGAGGCGGAACAGAACCAGCCGCCTCCTGGTGGATGAAGGGAGACAAACACAGAAACACAAACACAAAAACAGGAGTCCTAAAATCTTAGTGCTACATAATTTACGTGTAAATTCAAATACTTAATAATATATTTGCTATATGTTTATGAAATTAATGAAAAAATTATTGTATTTCAGACATTTTGGTAATGTGTTTCAAATATATAAACCTTGATGATGTATTAAAAAATTCCATCCATATTTAATATGCATTCATATTAAATTAGCATATTTAATATGCATGCATTTATCAAAGTAATACAAAGCTATGCTTCAAAGTTTACCCTAATCTTTTACTTGAATTTGAAAGGTTGTTCAAGGTTTAAAAGTTTAGTTTCTCAACAGGACTAAAATAATGAATTTGGACACGGAAAAAAGAGAGCTGGTTGGAGTCTTTGGGAAAACAGGAGCTGGAAAGACATCTTTGATAAATGCTATCATTGAAGAGGAAAGGCTTTTACCATCTGGAAGTTTCGGTGCTTGTACCTCAGTCATGATCAAAGTGGAGGCTAACAGGCTCAACCATAAATATGAGGCAGAGGTTGAGTTTCTCACAAAGGAGGTAAACTATAGATGTATTTGTCTTCTTTTCAAATACCTTTCAAATACATTTGTTTCACATATTTATATTAAAATCACCTCTTTTTCAGGAGTGGAAAGAAGAATTGAGCAACAGAGATCAATTTCCTAAGGATAACGAAGATCAGGAGAAAGATGAAGAATATCATGATCTTGTTGAAAAACTGTCTGCAATTTATGGGGAAGACTGGAAATGGAAAACTACTGATCAACTCATGGAGCACAAATACTTCAGGGAAATTCCAGAATTTCGTCACTCGATACGAAAAACCTTTACATGTGAATCAGTAAGACAAATATATGTGAATCATTTGTCTAATGTTTTGTGACTTTTCAAAAACTTTTATTTTAATGTGAAGGGTTTACAAGATTATAATAAGTTCTCATAAGATTCATGTTGTGGAGCCAAAATAAAGTCACTAGCCGTGACTAGGGGCAGAGCTTTTGATGTAGGATTTAACAAAAAATTATATTAAATTTAGGAAGCTGGTGGACTGCTTTTTGGCATGGTGTGGAAACTATCATCTTGTATTGAACGGGATATTATTGGCTTTTTTTAGAATAAAACTAGAACAGGTCAAACACCATTATGATCAATTGAGAATAAGTGGATGTGGAGCATAAATATTTGTGTGTCTACCTGAACAATAAAATGGATTGGAAACAGTCTGGAATGGAAAGAATAGACTGTACTTGACCGTACTGCTTGAGGAAGCATAGGATATCCTGTTCTAAAACTGACTTTTTCACAATGCATACAATTTTTATTTTGTTTTGCAGGCTGAAGCTCTATCTGCAAAGATGATCAAATACACACGAAGTGACACAAAACAAGAAGGAGATGAGGTTTTAAATAGGTGGTATTGGCCACTGGTGAAGTGTGTCACTGTCAGGGTGCCACATACAAATTTTCTACAACATGTCACACTTGTGGACCTTCCAGGAAATGGAGACCGAAACAAAAGCAGAGATGAGATGTGGAAAGGGGTAATATATACTTTATTATTGAGGATTTGACTGAAGCCTGATTATTATTATCCCCGGTTCCCTCACGATGGCTGCCCACTGCTCCCCAAGGGGATGGGTTAAATGCAGAGAAGTAATTTCCCTCTGGGGTTATGAGAGTATATAAAATCAAAAAAAAACAAAATGATATGCTGTCACTAATAGTACTAGTTGTTATTGTAGTAGCAGAGTTATTAATTGCTATGCATATATCACCCCAGATTGTTAGAAACTGTTCAACTGTGTGGATTGTATCTAACATCGAACGAGCAACATCAGAAAGCGAATCCTGGGAGATCCTAAAAAGTGCAAGCAGCCTCCTTGGAAACGGAGGGGAATGTCGGCACATCCACTTTATCTGCACCAAGTCTGATGTTATTGAAGATTCAAATGATAAGTAAGTGAGTTATTACATGTAATTAAATCCAATCCACTTCATTTATATACTGTAGCACATTTCAACTAAAATGTTCCAAAGAGCTGCACACACAACTATAACCATTACCTCCACCCGTCTGTAAGTCTAAAACAATAAATATAAATAAAACAGTTTAAAACAATAACTACAATCAAATAAATATATAGCAATAGCGGACCACACAACTTACGCAATGATAAAAGCCAGAGAATAAAAGTGAGTCTCTAAACATTCCACCATGGTAGCCATATGCATATTGAGGGACAGAGCATTCCACAGCTTTGGGCGGACAACAGAAAATACTCTGTCCCCTCTGATTTTCCATTTTATCTTAGGAATCACAAGCTAGACCTGGCTCTCAGACCTCAAAGCAAGCAGGGGACAGATTTGGATGAGGTCTGTTGTACTGTGGCAGCAGTCTATTCAAGGTTTTAAAAACTAACAATATTTTAAAATCAATTTTAAACTTAACAAGGAGCCAGTGCAAACACACAAGGATAGGGATGATGCGTTGTTTTACATATGGAGGTTTTCCCCTGCTCAGTGTAACTAGGCTCTTCCTTCCAGGGGAGAGAAGGTCCAGGAATCCAGTAACACAGGAAAGCTTCCTGTCGGGAAGCAAAGACAAAAACTCGTTAGACTCACAGAAACATAGCTAGGTTAGACTCAGCTAAACTCAGCTTGGCTAGAGTACCCGAAACTGGCAAACACTCTGGCGTCGAGGTAGTGACAGCCCCCTGCTCAAATACTCTTACAGATAATGATCCAATGAGCTGCAGGTCTGCAGGGAGGGAAAACGAAGACAGGGCACCTCCTGGTGGTGGAAAAGGAAAACACACAAACAGGCCACACAAACTGGGTTCCTAACACTTTGTAACCCGAGTGGGTCTAAAGTGCCATTTTAATCTAAAAAAAGGTTGCAACTGTGCAAAAAACGCATTTCTCTAAGATTTTAGATACCAAGAGTAGTTTGGAAATTGGGCGATAATTTGCCAAATTTGCATGGTCAAGGCTAGGCTAGGGCTAGGCATAGTACCAGAAGGCAAGCTGCTGTTGATGATCTCCCTGACAGAAGGGCCAATGGTGTCCCAAACCTCTTTGAAAGAATGAGGAGGGAACAGGTCTGTGGGACAGGAAGAGGATTTTAGTTTGTTTAAATATCCCTATGAGCACAGACAATGACGCAGACACAAACTGACAAAAAACATCTGAGCACTGAGTGAACACTGACTAACACTATGAAGAGATAGATATGTTGGCCCTTATAGCAGCAACCTTCTCAGTAAAAAAGGAGAGGATTTTTTTTACTTGCATGTTTTCCTTGTCATCTCCAATGTAGTGGACTGATTCAGATTGAAAACAGAACACATTGTTTTAAAAAGAACTTGAAGCTTACTGATACAAGTCAAGATCTAGTAAGAAAAATACTAACTTTGTCAGCTTTAACTGGACTTTGATATTATCTGCAGTACTCTCTAAGAATCACCTCCAAGTGATTCTTCTTCCACCTATGCTCCACTCTCTGACACTCACGCTGAACTGTGTTTGTAGTGTCATTGAGCAACAGTTCGAGCTTTGGCTTAGGACAAATGGCTCTAAGAGGAGCAACACTGTCTAGGGCTTCAGAGTGGGTGGAAATAAAAGAGTTCAACAATTGCTCCATGTCCATGAATGCAGGGGAGTTTAGATGATCCAGACAAGATGCAGTAAAAGAAAAAGAGGAGAAAAAGCAGCGGCCATGTTGGGTTTAATAACCAAAGCAAATTAGACAGCTTCGCCTCCAAGTCCAAAGTAAGAACAAACATGACAGGACTGTGGTCAGAGAACATGGCATCCCAACAACGACATATTTAACGAGAAAACCACTAGACAGCACAATTGCACAAGCACTTGTGTTGGGCCAGTGACATGTTGTTTAAACTCAAAAGCTTTCCACAAGTCTAAAAACTCACTGGCCATGGGCTTAGAAGGACAACATACATGCACATCAAAATCCCCGACAATTAAAACCCTGTCATAACTCGTGAGCACACAAGCAACAAATTCAGAAAAGTCCTTAATAAACAACTGGGTAGACTTATTCTGACTTGTTTGCACCACGAATAGTCCACGATTGCACCGTTTCCCTTATTTTTAGCCATTCTTTATGATTATACACCAGCCGGTCCTTGTGACAGATGTTCAAATGAGCATAAAACAAAAAAACTGAGCAGAGACAAACGGCGTACCAGACACTGCATGAAAAGTGAGATTTTCGTCACCGTAAACCCCCGTAAACTCCCGCAGATCTGCCTGATTTTCGTCAGTTTCCGACAATTTGCAACCTGTGCTTGTCCGCGTTTGTCGTGCCACAAATTGTCGGAAACGGACTCTGACGTGTGTGGAGAGCGATCAGCTGTACTAATGGCCCTAATTAGCATATGAATGCAGCAAA